GCACAAGCATGTAACACATAGAAATAAAAATACTTGTACAAAATTTTAAAAATAATTCAATTTAAGCATTCAAGAGACACAAATGAATGTACAAATCAAAGGAAAAACTATGTAAAATATATGTTAAAAAACATAAAAATTGAAATTATGTGTTAAAATATATAATGTAATGGAACTAAGCTGGAAAAATAAATCTGATGATCACTTAAATTATAAAACTTGATGTAATCTTCTCCTTTTATCTATTTCTGCTTTTATTTCTAATTATGTCAGTGTCGGTCCTCCATACAGCAGAATATGAAGAGGTAGTTCAGGGACTGAATCAGGTGTGTTGGAGCAGGAAACATGTAAAACATGCAGGGCTGCAGCCCTCCAGGACCAGGATTACCCACCCCTGTTTTTAACTAAGTGAAGACATTTTCTGAGRTTTTCTGCAATTTCCCAGTTCTCACATTTTCTGCAGCTCGACTGCACGTTACTAGTTAGGTTTAGAGGTGTGGTGTGAATGAAGTTTTGGTTCAGGTTAGTGTTAACTATAGACCAGTAATGGTTTAGGGCAGGGATCTGCAACCTTTACAATCAAAAGAGCTATTTCTGCTCCTTGTCTCATTAATAAATTGTGTCCAGAGCTGCAAAATAAACTACAACTGTGATCATTAATGGGTGGTCCGTGGGCCTTTTCAACGCCTTTTTGTGAACCTTTATGGCCAGTGGAGATGACATTATAAAACTAAAAATTTTATTGTGAATTTTATTATTTATTATTATTTTTAAACTTCAAGACTGAAGAAAAAACATATTCATGCACAAGAAAAATACTGACTATAGTTTAAACAAAATTTCATAAAAACTAGTTCAGCTGAACTAGTCAGACATTATTTTTCTAATTCTTATTATATAGTCCTAAAGGTGTTTAAAGGTAACCCTGATGGATTTAGGAGAAAGATTATAGAAAAAAGTTGGATTATTTAGGTAGAAAACAGGCTAACATGAGCTAACATATTTTACTTTTGTATTAGTATTTTTGTATTCATAGTACTGATCACATATTTGCATACAATTTAAAAGTGTTGTGAGTATAAAAACAAAAAATAAAAATTAAAATCTGTTATATTTGGTCACAGTTTCAAAGAGCCACACGTGGCCCCAGAGCCCCAGGCTGCAGACCCCTGGTTTAGAGAAAATGTCTGGGTTTGGCATGAATACAGTTACTAAAATGTATGGAAGTCAATACAAAGTCCTCAGTTTAATGCAAGTACAAGGATGTGTGTGTGTGTGGTTTGTTTAGGTGTGTGTGTGTGTCTGCACAGCTGCAGGTGCACTCAGAGCTTGTGGTCAGGTAGAACCCGGTTTCTCAGCACAGCTCTGTCTCTGCAGGCTGCTCTGTGACCACATCCTGTCTCTCTCTGCAGGTTTCATCTCCCACTCAGTGTTTGTCACTGCTGCTGCACACACATCACAACACTGACTTCCTGCTGTTGGCAGGCAGACTCACAAGTTTCCAACCAACAATGTTTGATCCTAAAAACAGAATTTGAGATTTGTAGGTGTCACAGCCTGAACCTGAGCTGTTTCTGCAAAATGTGAGAGAAACTTCAGAGGCTTCTCAGAAAAGGAGGCGGAGGAAGGAAAATATCTGATCTGGAACAAGTGATGATATTTATGGGCAGAGAGACTAACTAACATTTCAGATCCCCTATCTAAAAATGTGTTTGCTTTCTAATGCTGAAGGACAGTTTTAAAAACTAATGACAGATTATGAATCATTTTCCAGACAAACTGCAACAAAAAAAGAACAGCCACGCATTGTTTTTAACAGTTTTATTGAAAATTAGATTGAGCTAAACAAGCATTTATACAAAAAGTTGATTTTCATTCAATTTATCACTGCAAAAACTGTCCACTAACCAAGTTTTAAATCTTATATCAGCCAAAAAGTCTTTTTG